CAAAGGCGGCGCTTTGATCTCCTTCCCGGGATATTTAACCCTTTAAGGGCGCACAAAGCCAGAGCGTCTCCTCGCACACAGCGGTCCACCACGACATAGAGCCTCTCACGCAGCACCACGTGACTAGGTGTGAACAAGACGCCACGTGACTAGGTGTGAACACACCACGTGTCTAGGTGTGAACAAGAGACACCACGTGACTAGGTGTGAACAAGAGACACCACGTGACTAGGTGTGAACAAGAGACACCACGTGACTAGGTGTGAACAAGAGACACCACGTGACTAGGTGAACAAGAGACGCCACGTGACTAGGTGTGAACAAGAGACGCCACGTGACTAGGTGTGAACAAGAGACACCACGTGACTAGGTGTGAACAAGAGACACCACGTGACTAGGTGTGAACAAGAGGCACCACGTGACTAGGTGTGAACAAGGGACACCACGTGACTAGGTGTGAACAAGAGACACCACGTGACTAGGTGTGAACAAGAGACACCACGTGACTAGGTGTGAACAAGAGACACCACGTGACTAGGTGTGAACAAGAGACACCACGTGTCTAGGTGTGAACAAGAGACGCCACGTGACTAGGTGTGAACAAGAGGCACCACGTGACTAGGTGTGAACAAGAGACACCACGTGACTAGGTGTGAACAAGAGGCACCACGTGACTAGGTGTGAAAAAGGGACACCACGTGACTAGTGTGAACAAGAGGCACCACGTGACTAGGTGTGAACAAGAGACACCACGTGACTAGGTGTGAACAAGAGGCACCACGTGTCTAGGTGTGAACAAGGGACACCACGTGACTAGGTGTGAACAAGAGGCACCACGTGACTAGGTGTGAACAAGAGACACCACGTGACTAGGTGTGAACAAGAGACGCCACGTGACTAGGTGTGAACAAGAGGCACCACGTGACTAGGTGTGAACAAGAGGCACCACGTGACTAGGTGTGAACAAGAGACACCACGTGACTAGGTGTGAACAAGAGACACCACGTGACTAGGTGTGAACAAGAGACACCACGTGACTAGTGTGAACAAGAGACACCACGTGACTAGGTGTGAACAAGAGACGCCACGTGACTAGGTGTGAACAAGAGACGCCACGTGACTAGGTGTGAACAAGAGGCACCACATGTCTAGGTATGAACAAGAGACACCACGTGACTAGGTGTGAACAAGAGACACCACGTGACTAGGTGTGAACAAGAGACGCCACGTGACTAGGTGTGAACAAGAGACACCACGTGTCTAGGTGTGAACAAGAGACGCCACGTGACTAGGTGTGAACAAGAGACGCCACGTGACTAGGTATGAACAAGAGACACCACGTGACTAGGTGTGAACAAGAGACACCACGT